TAAACGTCTTGCGCATACAAATATAAAAAATATTGAAAGAATGCATAACAAAGGATTAATCCGAATTGATAACAAAGATTTTGAAAAGTGTGAAACTTGTGTAAAATCAAACTTTACAAAGAATCCTTTTCCTTCTGTTAAAAGGGACACATCAATTAGAGTTGATTCATTCTGATATTTGTGAATTAAATGGAATACTTACCCAATGAGGTAAAAGATATTTCATTACTTTTTGTGATGACTTCAGTCGCTTTTTAAAAGTTTATTTGTTACACTCAAAAGATGAAGCTTTTGAAGCCTTTAAACTTTATAAAGCTGAAGTCGAAAATCAACTCGTTAAACAGATAATAATACTTCGATCAGACAGAGGTGGTGAATATTTTAATAGAGAATTCGATACATTCTATGAAAAGAATGGTATCAAACATGAACGAAACTCACCATTTACTCCTCAACAAAATGGCTTGGCGGAACGAAAGAACCGAACCCTTGTTGAAATGGTCAACTGTATGGTGAACCAATGGGGTTGCCTAACAATATTTGGGGAGAAGTCCGGTTGACGGCTTGTCATATTCATAACCGAATCACTAGTCGTGTGATTCCAACTAGCCCATATGAGCTCTAGAGAGGTAGAAAACCAAATTTGAACTATTTAAGAGTTTGGGGATGTATTGCATACTATCAAACTCCTGACCCAAAAAGATCTAAATTGGGAGCCCATGCTATTAAGAGCATATTCGTTGGATATGCAATAAATAACAAAGCTTATAGATTATTGGACAAAGAGTTAGTAGCTATAGTAGAATCCAGGGATGTGGAGTTCTTTGAAGATAGATTTTTAGAAGATGCTGAAAGATCAGAACCAACATTGGCCTCTAAACCCTCTTGTTCATCTCGTGCTAGATCTAAAACCTCTATAAGAGGCTGACGAACCACGAAGAAGCACAAGAGTGAGAAAAGAGAAAAATCTGGGAAATTACTTTTTCTCGTACTTGGTAGAAAGGACACAAAAGAAAGTGACAAGAGAGTTCATTTTCTCTATCAGTACTGAAGAAGATCCCAAGACATTTAAAGGGGCCATGACTTCAAGGGATGCTCCAATGTGGAAAGAAGCAATAAATGATGAGATGGACTCCATCTTGGGTAATGGAACTTAGGTGCTAGCAAATTTGCCCACAGGGGTAAAACCTATGGGTTCCAAGTGGATAATCAAAAGAAAGATGCACCTTGATGGTTCAATATCATCTTTCAAGGCTAAATTGGTGGCAAAAGGATATAGATAGAAAGAGGGTATCGATTATTTCGACACCTATGCTCCAGTTGCTAGAATTAGTTCCATTCGAACTCTTATAGCAATTTCCTCCATAAAAGGATTGTATATTCACCAAATGGACGTGAAAACAACTTTCTTGAATGGTTATTTAAACGAGGAAGTTTACATGGAGCAACCTGAAGAATTTGTAATACCCAGGAAAGAGAATAAAGTGTGTAAACTTGTTAAAACTCTATACGGGTTAAAACAGGCTCTTAAACAGTGGCACAAAAGGTTTGATACGACTATCACATATTTCGGGTTCCGACATAATGGGGCCAACCGATGTATCTACTCAAAATGCACGTCTTTATGTTGATGATATGTTGATCATCGGAACCAATCTAGATAGTATTGTTGAGACAAAAGGGTACTTATCCTCGAAATTTAAGATGAAAGATCTTAGAGAAGTAGATACCATCCTTGGAATAAAGATCAAAAGCTCAGCATCTCAAATCTCTCTATGTCAATCTCACTATATAGAGAAGATACTGACAAAGTTTCAACATTTGAATATAAAGGAGTTTAACACTCCGTTTGATTCAAGTGTGAAACTCGATAAAAATACTGGTAAAGCAGTGGCTCAAATAAAAGATGCTAGTGCAATAGGATGCATGATATATGCAATGCATTGCACTAGACTCGATATTGCTTTTGTTGTGAGTAGACTGGGTCAATATACCAGCAATCCGGGTTCAGATCATTGGAAAATAATTGATAGAGTATTGGGCTACTTGAAAAGAACCCAAGAACTAGAGTTGACATACTCTACGCATCCAGGAATCTTGGAGGGATATTCCGATGCCAGTTGGATAGATCACTCAAGTGATTCTAAATCCATAAGTGGATGGATTTATACTCTTGCTGGAGGGGTGATTTCTTGGGCGATCAAGAAACAAACGTGTATCGCCCATTCGACTATGGAAGCCGAATTCATTGCCCTAGCGGCAGCGGGCAAAGAGGCCGAATGGATTAGAGATTTGTTGACAGATATCCATTTATGGCCTCGACCAACTCCTTCTATTCCCATGTATTGTGACAGTGAGGCCACACTGTCAAAAGTATACAATGCCATATATAATGGGAAGTCGCGATACATAGGTCTCCGACATAACTATGTGAGACAACTTATTAATGATGGTACCATAAGTATTGTGTTTGTCAAGTCTTGTGGGAACTTGGCAGATCCACTAACCAAGCCTCTGACGAGAGACTTGGTAGGGTCAACAACCAGAGACATGGGTCTGAAGCCACATAAAATCAGTTAGTGATGGAAACCCAACTTGGATATAGTGCTCCTATCTACCAAGTTTAAAGGGTAACAATGAGTCACTTGACTGATAGAAGGTACTATCAAATGATAGATTTATGTAAGGTGAAAGATAGTACGGCGTTGTCGAGAACAAGGATGAGTTAATCTCTTAACAAAGTTTAGAGGCATCTTAACAACGAAGATGTTATAGAACTTTGCCTATATGACTTAGAGGTGGTGCTGCCTCAAAAGAAGAGTAGTGATTTCTCTTTTAGTAAGTCATGAAACAGGGCTTAGCGCATGGCCATATTAGCACTCAATGAGAGAGCAAGGTTTGATAGATGATTTGTGTAAGTAAGTCGGAGTGGTCGCAAGATTCAAGTTTAAATCATAAGGATACCATTAGATTGATCCTTTCTTGCATACTTACATTAAACAAGGTTTAATCTTAGTGACACAACTATAACATTATCTACAATGAATGTCAGAAAACTTTCCAACTTGGTGAGGGATTGTTGGAAAATTTGTGGGTTGGAAGCTTGTCTTCCATCCCACATTGGTAGAAAAGGATTTTCTAGAGAAGCTTATAAGGCTTTCTCTAGAAATGGACTTTGAACAAGTTGGTGGACTCATGGTGGGGGTCTTGAGTGGAAGATCCAACATACACGTGAGCGTGTGGCCATGGCCGAGGGCGCGGGATTCGCGAAGGTGGCGTGAGGAGGAAAATTAACAGTTTTTGTTTTAAAAACAGGATTTTGACTTAGTCTTCCCACGATTTTGAGATAATGGTTAGTGGAGATAAATTCTCCACCATGATCTCGATTTTTGGGGAGTTTTTCGTGGGAAGTTAGAGACTTCGCCCGGTATATAAACTGGGTTGAAGCCAACTCTCAACCCACCGAAAAAATCAGTTTCCTTTTATCAATTGCTGCTTCCAAACGTTCTTTTCTCTCTACCGTTTTCTGCACCCACCGTGCTCTATATTCGTTTTTGATCGTTGTTCATAAACGAATCGTATACTGCATCAAATCCTGGGGCTTTGCGACTAGCAGACTCACAACATGAATAGAGTGATCGTATAAAACCTTAAATGACAGGTTTTACCATGCAAATTACAATTCAAATCAACAGTTTAATCAGGTTGGTTTTATATTTTCGGCATTGTATTTAATTTTCTGTTCACTAAGTGAACAACTCTGCTTCTACTTCTTTCTTTCATTAAATGTATCGTGAAGGATAAATTAAATCTGTGTGAATTGACACTGTGTTGAGGTGTTGTGGGTTCTGAACGCTAAAAGGGTTTAATTTTGTCCGTTAAAGATTTAATTTTTTTTATAAAGAGTAAAACTTTGTTTTGTTTCATCTAGGGAAAATTGCATCACAATGGAACCAACTTTCACCTTATTCCTATTTTGGGGAACCAACTTTCAAAATTGTCATTTAAAGGTCTCTATCAAACTTTTTGTTTATTTAAGGGTCTTGTTGACCTGCTACCAACTAAGGTATTCCACGTCATATTATTATTTTTATTTTAAAACTAATATTCTACGTCATATTTAAAATTGCAAAATAATTATAAAAAATAACTAAAATTCGTTTTTTTTTTCAAAAATTATTGTAATAAAATCTATTTTTCATTCCAAATCTCGTTTTTAAAAAAAATTCAGATATCAAATTGAAGATTTTTTCAAAAATGGAATTCTTTACTCACAATTTGATATGTGAAATTTAAAAAAAAAACGAGATTTGGAATGAAAATTAGATTTTATAACAATAATTTTTGAAGAAAAAAACGAATTTTAATTATTTTTCTATAATTATTTTGCAATTTAATATGACGTGGAATATTAGTGTTAAAATAAAAAATTAATATGACGTGGAATATTAGTTTTAAAATAAAAAATTAATATGACGTGGAATATCTTAGTTGGCAAAAGATCTGAATGATGTCAACATTAACAGGTCCACATGTCAACTAGACCCTTAAATAAACAAAAAGTTTGATAGAGACCCCTAAATGACAATTTTGAAAGTTGGTTACCCAAAATAAAAATCAAGTGAAAGTTGATTACATTTTGATGCAATTTTCTCTTTCATCTATCTTACTAGAATATTTTTCATCACATTGTTGTATTGTTTTCCTCGACTTCTTGTTATACTAGTAATAATGAAGTTAAATCTTTTGAACATAAAAACCCTCTCATTACACTTCAGGAAAAGCGACATAAAAGCATTTAGTATTAAAACTTAAACAAATTCATGCATCATACACTTGAGTTCATTCACATACTATATGCTTCATTCAATATTCGACTTTTACAATATACGTGGCTGTGGCTGTGGCATTCAAAATGTTTGAAGAAAATTTTCGGTTTCAATTTTGGAAGCGTGAATGGGCATGCCGTACATCTTAGATATAGTGCTGTTTTGAAAATTTTCGATTTCAATTTCCCTACATCAAGAACAATGTTACCATTTTTACAATTCGAAAAAAGGTTCGAGTGACTAAGTTTTAGTCCAATACTTAATATAATCCAACAAATTACCAAAACTAAACAAGCTTCGTATATCTCAGACATAGTATATCTTAAAGGATTATCTCGTATATGACTCCCTCAAGATTCGCAATCACACAACGGGTCCCATCAACTTCGTGGATCTTCAGCCCATGCTGGATGGCTTCATTTGTGACCATTACATCCATCCTACAAAAGGATGAGTGCATAAAGCTAGTTATGAATAAAAATCATTTGTCCCCAAAATGTGCATCAATCAAGTGAAGACATCATTACTTTATTAAAGAGAGAATAGAAAAGATACTCATATCTAGCTTTTCAAATCTTAGGGATCATTTACTAAACGCTTACTGGCTCCCTTACCTTATCGGGTGAGCATAGCATGAACCAAAATCTTACCCAGAAAGAGGTCTGACAAGGACCAATAATCTTACTCGGTAAGTGAAGGTAGTGACTCTTCGGTTAGCACTTACCGGGTAAGAGATGCTTACCAACAATCTTACTTAGCCATTTTGACGGCCGAGAATCTACTGTTAAGGTAAGTGAGGGTGGTGACTTTTATGCGGTTAGCATTGGTAGGCCCCTTAGCTTATATGTTTTTTCCACTTCTCACCAACAACCCCTTAGCTTTGATTAATTTTTGGTCCACTTCATCGAACTTAGTTTCTATCTGTAGGGTTGGATTATGGGCAATTGAGATGATATCTTTGTTATCTAAGTAAACTTTCATTAGAAATTGGTAAAGCAATGTGTAAGTCTACTAAGAACATCTTGATCCATATTGCCTCATAAATCCCTTGTGCAAGAGATATAAATTCATCTTCAGCATACTTCTTGTTACAACATTTGTAAGAGGAAATCTTCGCACCTAGAAGAGTAAAACGATTGTTGTAGCAAGAATTCGTCCTGAAGATGAACTTAGACCTCTTGAACAAGGGTTTTGTAACGCGATATGGATCAAGATGTTCTTAGAAGCCTTACAGACCGCTTAACCAATTCCTATGAAAGTTTACTTCAACAACAAAGATGTCCTCTCAATTGCCCATAATCCAATCCTACATGATAGAACTAAGCACGATGAAGTTGACAAACACTTCATCAAGAAGAAATTTGAGTCCTTATTTGCCGACTACTCAACAAACAGCTGGTCAAAAGAAAAAACACCCGCATCCATGGTGAAAGCTGACAATAGGCCTAGGGACCGTTTCTGTTTAGGATAATTAAGTACGTATCTTACACAATTACTGTTATCACTTCTGGTTAACATTCATATCAGATATGTTAAGCCCTAGAAGGGAAGGAGTCACTTACATTTTTGAACGAGAGACATATGCTAATATGAATCTGCATTGCTTTTTCCCACGTAGACAGAGGAGCTGTTGCACAGTGTTGAAGAGTAGAGGAACGCTGTTCTGCTGAAAACTTACCAACAGTCAAGGCAATACAACTTGCTTCAAAAAGTGCAGTTATTTACCAAAGGAAGGATAACGATTAAGCCAATAAAAATGACAGTGATAAGTTATTAGCATAGCTGTAAGCAATGGATCTTCGACTCAAACTCTTGATCCATACTTTTCTTTGGGTTTAGGTTCTTATTTTTAACACGGAATATAAAAAAGAGGTCAGTAAAAATCATTCTCTCATTTTCACAAATCAAGCATGTATGGACTTCTGTTTGTGATCAACCTGTGTATGCTTATTCGAGAGAGTAAAAAGTAAACTGAGGCACAAAAACAGGAAAGACATGGAGTCTAAGGCCAAGGGAACTCATAAAATTGACAGAAACACAACAACACATAAGCTCTGCCCACCAGTTGATGAAGATGAATGTTTTAGCATAGCACTGATTTACACTACCAGATGAAAAAGTTTGTGGTAATTGATTCATACCAACTTCTAATACATCGAATGGAGGGTAAAACAAATGCAAAAGCAGGATTCTCTTGTCTTTCATGGTACCCCCCTTTTAAACAGTCAAATTCATTAATGATAAATAGCGAGGATATAGATGTCAGCTCCAAGAACCAAATCAAATCCCTCCGAATGCTTTTGTAGAATTTGGTTGAGCTGGTCAGAGTTTCCCCATTCTAGTTTTTCTGCGGTTAAGGCTGTTCACAACAATCTCAATATTAGATAGCAAACACCAAAATGCCTCTAACCTAGGGGCCGTTTACTAAACGCTATGTGCTTATTGGGTCACTTTACCTTATTGGATGATCAAAACAACCATTGAGAATCTTACCCGGTAAGAGTATTGACAAGGACCGATAGTCTTACCTGGTAAGTGAGAGTAACGACTCTTACTCGGTCTGCGCTTACCGGATAAATTGCTGCACACGATGCCGTTTTAATGCACTAAAATCTTACCCGGTAAATTAAGTTAAAGCGCTTAACCGGGTAAGCATTGGGTAAACGGCCCTTAGTAATCTTACCAGCACATGGATTAGGATTCTCAGAAGATTCATGAAGCTCTATGTTTTTCTTCAAGATCTGAAAAGGAAAAGTTGTGTGAATAGTTGGAACATAACAAATAAAAGACTCACCAGATGTTTATGCAGAAAAATGACATATTGCAACCATGCCTTGAGGACTTCATCATTATGGTCTGTAAGCATGACTGCACGGCAAAATTTGCTACAAAGTATACCTGTGATACCTACATCCAGAAAAACAATCAGTGCATACTGTCATATACAAATAAATACAAGGAAAGTAGAAGTGCCATCAGTACTTCACATTCTTCACACACAATTATGTACACAACACAAGTCCAGATAGCCTGGGACACCCTTCCAAAAAGAAGTCACACAACACAATTATTATACAAGTGATTATCGTTCATTATATGAACTATAAGTGGTTCATTTTGTTATATTATATCCCTAGAATGGAGCTTTGGTGTTAAACTCTTTACTAAAAAGTGATAAGTATGCTTTCATGAATGATTTCGGTGAGTTTAGACCAGTTATTGCGTTTAGGTTCTTAAATGAAATTCGTTATTGGACTATCGGATGGCTTATGCTATGCTTTTCTTGCACTTGTAGATGTTGCCATGCTGGAAATGAAAATGATGAAAAATGTTAATGTACAAATGATAAGGAAGCAGCATCAGCACCAAAGTCCTGGCATGGCCACGTGAGAACAAAGAGGAAGCATGGCATTGCCGTGCTAGAACAATAGAAGTATCGATGGTACTTGGCATGGCTGTGCGGAGCTGAAGCATAATCTTGCACAGTCGTGTGATAGAGACAGAAGCCTTAGGTCCCGTTTTGTTTGCAGGATTGGATTTGGAATTAAATTCCATTCCAATCCCATATTTGTTTTGAAGGATTTCCAGGATTTGAAATCCCGGGATTTCATTGAAATCCTACAAACATAGGATTTTGAAATCCCACGGGGTGGTTGGTATTTCATGGGATTTCGTAGGATTTGATTGTAATAATGTTTTAAACTATGTTAAAAATATTTGTTTTGTTATAATCAATTAATAAAAAGATAATTTAATTATTTTTATAATTTGTTATAATTTGTTTTTATAAATTATTTATAAATAATGGAATTCAATTTCATTCCAAATCCTAAAAACCAAACACACCAAAAATTCTAAATCCTTCCAAACCCAAATCCCTCCAATACCAAATCCTTCCACGAAATCCAAATCCCTCAAAAACTATTCCATCCAACTAAACGCCCCTTCATAGTAGGGTTGCACAGCCAAGTGCCTTATACTGAATTCTGGAATCACACCACTCATTCCAGAATTCAGGAGGCTGACTGGAAAAGAGTTACAAAAGAGACAACAGGGTCTTTGTTACACATGTGACGACAAGTATGCCCCACCGTTGCAAGAAGAAGGAACTTAGGGGGCGTTTGGTTCACATAATGGAATTGGAATCCATCAAAGGAATTTGACTTTGAAGAAATTGGAATGGAATTTGATGGATTTTGACCACGCGTTTGGTTGGTAGGAATTGAAATGGAATCTCTCAAAAGAATTGGAACAACCGTCTTTGTTTGGACCACCCCACCCATCGTCCCGCCCACACCCTATCAACCACCATGTTACTGCTGTCGTCGTCACAGCTACCACCCCTTCCCGTGCCTCCCCACCACCCCCGCACACCCTACCCAAACCCCGCCTCCACCGCCCTTGCCAATTCCATCAAATTCCTTCGAATTCCGTGAACCAAACAACCCCATATAAATTTATAACCTCTCATTTAACCATAACCGTTAATCAAGAAAATGAACGGCCCAGATGAATTTGTAAAGTTAATACTGTTTACTTGGTTAACAAATGAATTTGCCTCAATATATACACACACACACACACATCATATGTATATTTTGACAATATTCCTGGTGTAAGATATACAAGTTATTAAGGATGTCTTTTCTTCTTTCACATACCATGCCATAATTAATAAACATTACTTTAGATAGTCTAAGAATTGTCCATCAATGTCTTAGTTAGGATCTCCTGCCTTAAAATAGCTTATTTTATGAATAACTAATGCCAAACACATTGCAGATAAAAATTTAAATATACAGTAAGCAATACAATGTATTTTGAATATAACTAACCTACACCAGATCCTAATTCGATAGCAGAACATCCTTGCAGAATCTCAGCATTATTTGAAAGGTATTCATTTAACAGTCTCGCACCAGGCCATACCAACTGCCCCGTCAAATCAAAATCAGCTGCACCACAAAGGTATTGATTAGAGTCTAAGTCACAAAGGTGCATTACGCTCTCCTCTGTTGTCAAACAAACCACGTGAAATAGACATCTTAATTACCAATGGACTGTGTGGTCATGGTTAAGCTAAATTATTTGGAGAGAATCCATAATCACAATAATATCCAAAGAAATATACCAACAGATGGTCTCTTGGGTATTAGTGTAACCAAATTTACATCACCAATCGAGAAAATCTCTTGGTCAATAGAAGACTACATAACCTAACAACATAGTAGTTGATTGTGGATTATTGAACCCACCTACTTGTGTATGTGTTTGTACTTTGTCCATATGCGACAAAACACCTACGTATCATGAAACCTCTTAGAAGTGTTTTGAATCCATTCTTGTACCTCAGCCCTCTTGGCTTGTTGGCACCAACAAATAAATCCACCAACACAAAGGTAGCGCAGATTGTTGCCCAAAGTGAAATAAGTATATGCAGAACATGTTCTCTTGTAGATGAATCAATGAGAAACTCCTCCATAGTGCAATCTTTAATGAAACACCTCCAAACAGGCACCCTCATACCTGTGTTCATCTCTTAAAAATATAACCAAGGGAAAATTTTCTTTTAACATTTCCCCACAGACCCCATATTTTCCATCCAAAAAACTCTACCTCACCCTATACGACATGCAATCATTCAACATGATCACCTACTCCTTAGTCCTGGGATATGCTTTTTCGAATCAAGGCATGGCAAAGATTCATCAAAAGGATAAAAAGCACAGAGTATGTTCAGCAAAACATTAAGAGATTGTCTCAGTTTTCATTTCTTATGATGGGATAAACAGGTATGTTGTTCACGACATTATAGCTGCAGAGTCCAAGAACAATCGTATTTATGCCTATCAACAATTTGAATAAGGGTAATGAACCCATTCTATATGCTATTTTAACCCCTCTCTACTAATTCACACATAAACATCAAATTAACCTTTTTACATTTCCATTGTCTTACAATTGACCCAAAGGGGTCCAAATAGAAACTCAAAGTGGTGTGCAACAGAAAATCAAAATGAAACTTTACTTCCCAGTTCCCAACATCCATGATAAAGTATTAAAACCTCAAACCCTGAAAGAATGAAAGATAAAGCACAAAACTTACTCGAAGCTGATTGGAGACAAAGAAGCTGAAGAACATGAGACCCAAATGTAAACGTAGTGAGCTCATAGCTGCACAAATTAACATACGAACAACATCATTCAACCAATTGCCGTTGGCTAGTTATTTACATATAACAGAGACAGAGAGAAAGAGATACTTGTCATTGATGAAGAAAGATTCACCCAAACAAACTGTATCATCGTCATCACTGTCTACTCCATTTGGTTTGATTAATGGGTCTTCTCGTTGGCCGTTTTCAGACATGGTGCTGTATAATGGTTTAAAACTATTAATGTCAACTGAAAATCTAACCTAAATGACCACGCCGCACTAGACCCACCTGTGTCGGTTATGCTTAAGGCTATCGGCTGGGTAGCAATAACAACTTTTAATTTATTATGAGCTCAAATGATGGAAAAAATATTATCTAGACAGTGAAGAGATTGATCTTGAAACAACAACCAAATTTATCAATCCAAGAAAATAAAGTCTTAGTTCAGTGGGTAGAACGTGCCCTTGATAATTGCGAACTGCAGGAGGGGGTGCTTCATATAATATTTTTGGATGAAATAAAATATGTTAAAGAAATTTGTCTTTGAATTGATCATTTCAATTCATCCGAATTCCGTCGGAATCATGCAAACCAACGCCTCCCTAAGGTTGTTTGGTTGGTTTTTTATTAAAAAGTTGTTCGTTTACCTTTTAATAGTTCCATTAAGAGTCAGCTTTTGAATCATTAAGTGGCTAATCTTGTTTGACAAAAAAAAAAAGTTAAGTCTCTTAATGGTTCTAGAACCCTATGAATGATTTTGTATCTTGTGCATCCCTTAATCATTCAGTTCCCTAATTTCATTTTGAACAATTACCAAATAATTATATTTCATTTTGTACTATATTATAAGAGTTTTAATCATTCTGACCACTTAATCATTCTGCCCCAAAACCGTTCAGCAACTACCAAACAACCGCTAAGTCCTGTGTGGATAAAGTTGTGTATATTGTTAAAAGTGCCTCCATAGATCTAGCTAAATTGTTATTCAGTTGGTGTGATGAATAAACAATCTAAATAATGAAAATGACTATTTTATCCTCGGTTTATATTAAACATTTTAGATTAAATTCTACAAAACAACAATATTTACAGCAAAGTTATAAATCAAACAACAACAAACAAATCATAAAACTGTAAACAAATCACCAAACAACAATATTTACACCAAAGTGGTAGATCAAACAACAATAAACAAATCATAAAACTGTAACAAATCACCAAACAACTTTGTAGATCGATCCGTCTTATTTAGAACAAAGTTGTAGATCAAATTAACAACAGTATCGAATTAAATGAAACTCCAAGTTAGAAAAGATACCCAAATCTATAAACCCTAAATAAAACTAATCACAAATGAGTAGAAACCACAAATCAAGAGAACCAAATAAAAAAACACCATAAACCATGGCAACAATCATAGACTTCTCCCCTCCTAATGACCTCAAAGATCAAAAACAAGATAAGGTTGAAGAAACCAACAATCAAAAACAATTTTGATATTTTCTTATTTAGGTGTCTAGGGAGCAACGAGGAAAGGCAGAAGAAGGAGCATCGAAGGATGGAGCAGCAAAGGGAATATTGAAGGAGTGAGCAACAAGGTATACGACCAACGACGGCTGGCGATGGTGATGCAAAGGGCAACGAGGCCAGCAATGATGAGGCAAAAGGCAACGACGACTGGCGATGATGAGGCAAAAGGGAAACAAGGGCGATGATGATGAGGCAAAGGGAAGTAAAAGTGAGATGGTTTCTAGGGAGAGCCTTTAGAGAGGAGTGGATCTGTCGGTTTGAGAGGTTTCAAAGATGAGTGGTAGGATGTTTCTTTGAAACGATTGAATGCATACAAGTGAGGAAAATAGGCTAAGCGAATAAGCCCCAACCGAATTTGTTTATATGGCCTATTGAATAAGCTATACAGGCTATTAAGCCTATTAAGCTGCTATATAACATCCCTTTTGTTCATGCATGTGTTTAGTAACATTATTTAAATTAATGAAACCGAAATGAACATTGTTTTAAATCATGAGACCAAAATCAAACACTTAATAATTGATAAGGGAATAAGAGTTTGTTGTAACTAAACCCCTTTTAAACTCCTTTTAGTCATCTATTAAAGATACTAATTGATTGTAGTCTACCAACTATAAGTAGGAGTTCTATTCTTGTAAAAGAGGTATGAAGATAATAAAAGAATGACTTCGTACTTTATAATTCTCTTCTTCCTAAATCTCTCATCTCTCATGTTCTACCATTTAAAGGACAACTTCAAGCTTCTTGTATCTATATAGTGGTATCAGAACTAGGTCTCTTACAATTTTTTCTTTCGATTCCTCTACAATCTAATTACCATGTTTGGTTCCCCTAGTAACAAGGAAAGCGATACCATGAAGGATCAAATCAAGATCTTGGAAAAAAAGATCGAATATCACAAAAAATAATGTAGTGATGAATTTGAGAATTTGAGATAATGTAGAGAGGGCTAATGTAGAGAGGATCAAAATCAAGACCTTGGGATAATATAGTGAAATAGTTTTAAAATTTTCAACAACATGATTCTCTTGAGACGTATATGATGAAGTTGAGAATTTCAGAACCATAATGTTACAAAATAATCATGTGTTACTTGTTTCGTTTTCTTACATCTGGACAACTTCACTGGGTTTTGAAACTATTTCAAACTGTTAGCATATTTAAAGTGTAAGTAAAAAGCCTCTTGCCTAAGCCAACATGACTTGCTGTTTTGAATAGGCCTGGAACTAGAGCTCGGATATATAGCTCAGACACAGAGAGGATCAAGACCAAAGTCGTGCCCCAATAATGCTAAGCACTCGAGATGCAAAGCCCGAGTCCCGAACACAGAGCCTCTGCATAGTACATGGTAACAATAGAGGATAATCCCAAGAAAGCCTTGGAAAAGGATGTCTTACTACCCTCTAAGTATTACATCTCTCCAACTCTAAAGAAGCTTGTTCCAAAATATGTAGTAAAAGAAAAGGAAGAAGACAGAGTAGATATGAATGAATGGTTTTCAAATTCTAGAATTGATTCATGTTAGAAAAGGAATTCAGAGTTAAAAACCTCTGTGGATTCCGTTATAAGGAAGTCTGTAGGATTCAAGAGAGAGTACCAAGTCTTCATGGATAAAATAGGGAAGTTTAAAAGGGATATGTGTTCAGAGTTAACAATTACAAACTTGGTGGACATCAAACAAAGAACCTGGAGGAGCATATTATACCAAGTCTTTGCTGTTGAAAGAGAAGACAAAGATTTATGAGTTCTCTGAGGCTGATTTCCAATTCATCAATCTTAAAGATTTGCTTCAACTGTATTACAAGTTAGCTCCATTTGAAGACAAGGTTGCAAAATTCATATATGGACTGACTGCTATTGTTCATGGCATTCTTAGAGCTACATTATGGGGAGGCATGTGTGACTTCTAATTGGCCTTAATTCTAAAGAGAGACAAGAGTTCATTTGCTGCATCCAGATATAAGTCTTGGGGAATTAGCATCCTTTCACACGGGTACTGTAGTGTGTGATCACCCATGATACATTTGCAAGAATCTTAATAAGAAGTTCTTATTCAGAGTATATGAAATGCACAAGTATAGCTCTAGTACTTTGATTCAGATTCACATGTCATTAGAGAAAAGACTCTGCAAGAGGCGTAAGATTATTTCAAAAGAAGAATGGCCAAAATTGAAGGATTTGATATAGTGGATGAGCATGGAGATTGACTCACAGCTTGCATACAAAAAATCATCATTGAGAACTTCATTTCTATTCTTAAAGACAGGAACTTTCAAATTTGAAGCAAAGGGGGAGATTGAAATATATGAAGAAAATTGCTTCCAAATTTGCCAAGTATAGAAGTCTACATAATAGACTTCAGAATTTTGAAAAGCAGATTTCCAGAACTAAATAAGTCTAAATCTGAAGACTTATCTTCGGATCTCTGAACTTGTAGACTTCACAGTTCGGGTTAAAGCTTCTCAAGGCTTACAAGTACAAGTCTAAAAGAGATATTCTTCAAACTTATTTCAAGAGAAGACCCTAAGAGCGCATAAGTTTTAAATCAGAAGACCTTAAATTCAGAGTTATTCTAACTCTAAACGAGAGGATGGTGTTAATCCTATTTTCTATTATTAGTTATAGAGATTATATTTCCCTGGTTATAGGATTCATTTTCTTTGTTTAACTTATTTTATTATTTATATAGATAGGTTTACTTTTCAATAATTGTATTCGATTGATTCATTATTCATTCAAGCATTATAAGCAAATTGCTCTGCATTCTTCATTATTCAATAATAGATCAAAACCTTCGAATGCTAATACTCTCTGTTCTTACCTTGTTGTATATATTCTTGATATACGGGCACTTTCAAGATCTCATTCATTTCATTGAATATTAGTGTCTTTCAAACTATTTCTCAAAGTTGCATTTGGTCAAGTTCTGTTATTTCAATTCCTGTTATTTCAAGCTTAAAGTTCCTTTTCATACCCTGTTTTCTTCAAAATGTCAAACCAAACTTGGAATGCAATGTATAGCACAGGTTCTCTTACCAAACCGCCTACTCTTTTAAGGGATGAACATCCCAATGGAAAATTCGAATGATGAACTTCTATGAAGGTTTAGATCTCAAGATGCTTGAGTTTATGGAAAATGGCCCTTACATTCCAATGATTGTTGTCCCGAGAGTTCCTACCACTCATACCACTGCTGAAATCCTTGTAACCCGGATCCCCAAGGAAAGGAAGGATTGGGATGATGAGAACAAAAGGAGAATCGAAATCGATCAAAAGGCCAAAAGGTTGTTGATCATGGCGATTCCCAATGAAATCTTTCAATCCCTAGATGCATGTGAATCTGCCAAAGATTTGTGGGATCAGCTTGAAGCTGGAATTAAGATGAGAAAGAATAGGCGTACTCAATGCTTAAACGAGTAGGCAACAACTTTCAAGCTCTTCCTGATGAGTCCCTAGAACAAACATATCATAGGTTCAACACACTGATCAATAAATGAAAAAATGTGATGTAGTTAGAACACAGGAAGAGGACAACATGTTGTTGTTGAAAAGGCTGAATGAAGAGTGAGCAAACCTGTCTATGTCTCTCCAGGCAAACCAAAACTTGGAGCAATGGACTCTGCATGATGTTTATAGGACATTATAGGCTCAAGAGAAAGAGGTGTAGAAGAAGAAGAAGATAGCTTTGGGTGGTCTTCTAACCCTGGTCTCTGAGGCTAAAGAGACGAACTCTGCAAGGCCATCCAGAGAGAAGAAGACTAGAGAAGAGAGAAGAAGGTGTTGATTGCTGAGAGTGAAGAAGAAGACAGATCATCTGCTCTGATGATGATGATGATATTAGTGCTTTTGCACAATCCTTGGGTTTCA